AATACAGACAAAAGCAACCATGTCTAACTAGGCTACTGTTTTTATTATAGTTTCTTTTTTAATTTCTCTCACTCTTTAGCACTGAGAATCTCCAAGTAAACCTTAGTAATGAAATACTGTTCACTTTTTAAATTAAAAAAAATATGCTAAATGCAAGGGAGTTGGCTCAGTCAGTAAAGTGTTTGTTATTCAAATATGAGGGCCTGAGTTCAGACCCCAAGCACCTAGGTAAAATGTCAAAGCATCCTGTCTGTAATTTCAGTGCTGGGGAAACACTAAGGAAGATTCCAGGGGTGTGCCAGCCAGGCAATCTAGCAAAATTAGTGAACCCTTGGTTCAATGAGAGATCTTTTCCCAAAAAAATAAGGAGAGAGCAATTGAACAAGACAGCCATCATCAACTTCTTGCCTACACACAACATACACACACAGGGTGGGCGGATCATGCCATTCTATGAGAACTTCACTCTTCTGCCTGTGACAAATGCTGGCAAGTTTCCTTTGCTGTCCACTCACTTCCTTTACAACTCATAGCCATTCCACTTGAGCACCATGCATCTTTTTTACAGGTAAGAGGTAAACACAAGTATCTTCAGTCTCTGTGATCTAGCTTGCATCTAGTGCCAATTATATCTGACTCAGTGTAGCATCAAATCTATAAGCCAAAGACAAATTTGATCACACCTAGCAGTGAAGACATTGAACTTGGAAGAATGAAGAGCCTTCAGAAATTTTGAGTATATGTAATGATAATATTTTTCAGCTTCGATAGCAAAATAATGGAAGATTGCATGGGTAAACTGCTATCTATCATGATAAGTGTTAAAGCAAGATTATCGTATCAGAGGGTAGTAAGTACTATATGAGAGATATATGTAGTGTGTTTATGAGGGCATGCTAGCAAAGCACAGACCCAGGTCACATATTTCAGCCAATATGTGCTCCTAAAAAACTGTTTATCCTCTCCTCCTGCTCTATTTGACACAAATCAACAGAGGAGACAGACTATTAGAAAATGTATCCAAGTTTTAATACTAATAACTAACATTTACTGAGAGTTTACTGGGTGCCAATCCCATTCTAAGCACCTTTCATGTGTTTGCCCATTTAATTCTCATGGCCCTTGGAGAGTGCTAATGGTAACAGCAGTGTTTTCAAAGGAGCAAATAGGCTTAGAGAGGTGAAATAACTCCAGAAGCCAAGCTCAGGAGGACATCAGTCTTCTGCCTGGGACAAGGGCTGGGGAGTCTCCTTAAGGGTGTACTTCCTCTACAGCTCTCCTGGGCTCAGTTTGAACACCAGATGTCTTTGCAGGTAAAAGAAATACACAGAAATAATTTGCAATGTTACTTTTGAACAGTAACTTCATTGGCCAAAAAAAAAAAAAAAAGCATCAAATGTCTGCTAAAGATGAGAGGGGGAATTAGTTGTGGAAGTACATGGATGATTCAGTATGGCTCTTGCTCTCACAATCTAGTCAGGAAGTGTGTGTGTGTGTGTGTGTGTGTGTGTGTGTGTGTGTGGGGGAGGATATGACAGAGTATCTCCAGAACTACATTCATTCTCCTTCAGGGACAAAACAATACAATTTCAATTTGCATTCATGCAGAGGGAACCTTGGTAAATATTTGTACATCAGAGCATTGGCATTTGGAGTTGGAGTTGTGCCTTTCTTCTGAGTTTGTGAGGCATCGTGAGAATTAAGCAGGAGACAAATCTAGTGCATTTCCACTGGAGCTCTGTGTGTGGTGGCTACGGTCTGGAAACACAGGCATGGCCTACAAGCCTTGAGACTTACATGAGTATAGAATAGTTCAAGAAGAGAAAGGACCAGCAAGGAATGCCTGGTTGCTGGATACCAAATAATAGTTTGAGACTCAAACTTTCTTAGTGGCTGCAAGACAAAGAATATGGCAGTTACTGTCCATCAGTGTATCCAGGAGGGTGAGGGACCCTGAAGGGATGTGTAAATGGGAGAAAAAGGAAAGGAAATGGAGACTGAGTGGGAACTTCAAGGATGGGGAAGTTGAAGAATGGAGAAATGAAGAATGGAGTGAAATAGGAAGATATTGCAAAGATAAGGTACAGTTTTATTCCAAGTTTATAGCTGTGAAACAGCTATAGCTCTGAAGGATCCTAAGATAGTTTGGGATGCAGAGTAGAGATGTCAGGGAATGAAAAGTGACCAAGATCAGATGGATGTGGGGATGTAATCTGCTGTAGTGTTCAAGGAAAGGGTGATAGACAATTAAGCTAGGAAGATGGGGATGGGGTGGGGCATGGAAAGAGGTGTGGAGGAGCGGCAGCAGGGCAAAGTCAAATCAGAGAGCCAGGCTGTGTACCATGACATTAGTCATTGAAGTGGAAAAGTAAAAGAAGGGACAAGATGGCTGGGTGACAGTGGGAAAGGCCTTTAATCCTAGTATTTAGAGGCAGAGGCAGGACAGTCTCTAGGTTCTAGGCCAACCAGGTTTACATAGTGAGTTCCAAGTCAGCCAGGCTATATAGAGAGACCCTGTCTCAAAAATATTTTTTTTTATTAAAAAAAAAGGTGGGGGAGCAAACTGAATGGGAAGATGGCACTTTTCAGATGGTACTTGGTACATATGGCGATACATATGGAAATAGGAGACAGAGCTGGATGTGTGACTGCATTGCTCAGCTACATATATGTAAGGACTTGTACTTGCCCTGTTAGAAACAGCTTGACCTGTCATCTTCCATACTCATGTGTTGTTATTTGTAGAGCTTTTGTGGATGGTGAAGAAAGATGAAATTGATTGACATATACAGTTCACCAAACAGAACTTTGCAAGCCCAGTTCTCAGGCATCCTGTATCACACATATAATAACCAAGGAAATTTTCCCTCCTCTCTCCATGAGTTCTGAGCCCCCAAAAGGAACTTGCACATCTTTTCTATGTTAATTTCATCCCTGTGTTTATCATAGATCTTCATTATTCTTGACATACATGCCCACATCATGCTTGTTTTATCTTCTAGATGTCAACATATATGTCTTACCATGTCACTGTGGTAAGACATTTGGAAAGAGAGCCCCTAACTAGGCTGGAAAACAAGACACTAGCATTGAGTAAACTGTCAAAATGCTCTGGGTGAGGATATAGAAACAAATATGCATCACTTATTTAATAAGAAACCTCTGCTTCTACGTGAGACCTCCAGGAGGAGAGAGCGTTTCACTACAGTTTTCTTCCACTCTGTAATAGACACCCTGCTACACTGTAACACAAACCCTGGCAAACCTAGAGATTTCCATCTATGCCTAAGATGGATTCATTTTGAGCTGCTGCTGTTGCCTAGTTAAGAGACTAACCTGGAAATAGCCTGTGACAACACACCAAAGGTCAGGGTGGTAGTAACTGTGAGTCAAGGATCCCTCCAGATCCAAGTCAAAATGACTTGCTTATCTCTGCTAGTATACTGTGAACCAGAACAAGAAGAGAGGAATCGAGGATGCTGCCTTGTTACTGAACACTAGATGATAGTTTCAGACCTACAAGGACTTAGGAAGAAGCAGCCAGAAAAGAAAATAGTAGAGCTGGGGAGACAGGCACAATAGACAAAGCCTTGCCCCACAAGCACAAAGACGGCAGTTCAAATCACCAGCACTACACAAAACCTAGACAAGTGTGGCAGTTGCCTGTAATTCCAACATTCAAGAGGCAGAGATAGGGACCCTGGGACAAGCTAGTTAGCTAGAGTTACAGGAATTCATGAGCTCTGGGTTGAGCCAGAGACCCTCCCTCAACAACAACAAGAAAAGAAGTGTAGTCAAGATAGACTCTCCATTTCAACTCCAGGCCTCCACATGCACATATACACACAAGTAATGTACCCACACACATGTGAACATGCATACTCACATACATGTTCATCACACACACACACCCCACCCCCCCACACCCAAGAAAATAACTATAGAGGAAATGGTGCTTAGTTGAGGAGAGCAGCAGAACAAGCAGAGGTGGAACTTCAGATGAAGATTCAGACTTAGGATGCTGATGAGATGGCTCAGTGGGAAAAAAAAAAAAAAAAAAAAAAGCACAGGCTGCTGTTGCAGAGGGAGGACCAGAGGCAGGTTTCCAGCATTCACATTGGATGGCTCACAGCTACCCGTATCTCCAGCTTCAGGTGTTCAGCTCTGTCTTCTGGCTTCCTTGGCTATGTGCATATGTGCACGCATTCACAAATATTCACAGACACACTGAAAAATACATCAATAAAAATATAAATCCTTTAAAATTAAAAAAAAAAAAAGAATAACCCTGGCTGTTGAAATGTGTAGCCAACACTGTGACTATTTCCATATAAAGCTCTAAGAAAACATAATAAGACCCCTGACTTTTGTGAGGTACTTTGACTTCAGGATGAGACACAATCATACTGTGGTCAATAGTTTAGAGGTTTTAAAAGCAGATCATAACATTTAGTAGTGTAATTGCTTGTGTCTGTTTGAGTGTGTGTTTGCCTCTGACAAGAGCAAACATATTGAAAATATCCAAAATAAATAGGGATCAGCTGCTAACTGCTGGGAGCCAATTCCATGACACACATAAATAGACTACATAAGAATGTTGTGGTGTCATATTAACTGGTGTGACTAAAATAGACTCAGTCATTTTCTGGTTACTGTGTTTGGGGCACCTACTTGGAGAAACAGAAAGTTGGAAAATGTTCACCTTGCTGTGCAGTTATCCAATAAGACTGTTAGACTGAGCAGGATCAACCCTTAGTTCTCACTGCCGAGGTTAGCCACAGACTTTCCAAAGAGCTCTTCCTCTGCAAGCCAGTGTGCAGTTCAGGAAGGACCCAGCAATATGCTTCTCAGAGAAGGAAATAAACACTTTTGTTCAGATGGATAGCAGGCCCATTGGAAATGCTGGCTGTCCAAGATAAAACACTAAGTGGGGATGGAACACTAAAAATAATACATGTTAGGGCTCCTTAAATACAGCATTTCTTTTGTTGTTTTTCCAGGGAACAATCATGTCACCATTTCTTCGAATTGGTTTATCCAACTTTGACTGTGGTACCTGCCAGTCTTGTCAGGGTGAGGCCGTGAACCCCTACTGTGCTGTGCTTGTCAAAGAGTATGTGGAATCAGGTAAGTTAATTGGCATCAGGGTCGGGAGGAAGAGGAGGGAGTGGTGGCTAGGCTAGACAAGCATGTGGGAGACAAGAACCTCCATGACCTTATGGGACAATTGGCAGAACTGAATTTCACAGTTTAGGACACTGGTACCCAACAAAGGCCAAATATACTTTCTTAAGAAGCCAGGGTTAGTTATGGGTTCTGACCAGATCTATTTCACCGTCATTTTTTTCCACATAAACAAAGATACAGAGAATATTAAGTTGAGGAAATTAGATCAGGGACTAATGGAGAAGAGATCTAGGAGGCCAAGTATATTAAATATTACTTGCACTAATAATAACTCACTGTTTTCAGTGACTACAGGTAAAGCCTGTCTAATCCTAGATCTTGGGATTAACTCTAAAGACTGCTTGTTGTATCATTGCCTCATCTAAGAGAGGAAGGAAAGAAGGAATCTGCTAGCATTCTCCATGAATAAAATATTATTTCTGTTTTATTAACTGTGACTATATGCATGCAATTCATGAGGAGCAGGAGATTTGTACCCATGACTGTTTTTGTGGGTTTGGATAGCTCTGTCAAAACAATCCCACTGGGTAAGGAATCCCTTGATGGTTATGCCTTCTGGTTCCCTGTTGATCCATACCTCTTCATTCCGATATTTTTAAGTCTCTTCGAAAGAAAAAATAGGAAGCTATTTATCCCAAGACCTTTCCAGCCTCCCGGCCTTGCTCTATATTCCTGTATAAAGCAGGGTAGCTGTCAAGAATGTATCTCAGTTCGTTTACACACACACACACACACACACACACACACACACACACACACACACTTATGGCAAGCCACTATGAGGGCTCTGGGGCTTGAGCAGACAGAAAAACACACTAAAGTGTCTACAAAGTCTCCCTTCAGACTTTCCAGTCTCGCAGAGGAAGACAGGTGATAAGCAAAGTTATCGTGTGATGACTAGCAGTGAGACCTGTGAAGATAAAGCAAGGCAAGAAGAGAAAGAGGCCAGAGAAGTGAACATCATTCTCAATGGAGTGCCCCTAAAAGAGTCTCTCTCAGAGATTGGGAGCATTTGTGGACACAAGAGGAAGCTGGGGCATGCATTGAGAGCCTCTAGCTAGATGCTGGAAGTTCTGAATTCTGCAATTCCAAATTTTATCATGCTGTGTCCTCCACTCCCATCTCCCTTCATGTTCACTTCATCTCCCTAGCTGCTCTGAGGGCATCAAAGCCTAGGAGACTGTCTGGATGCCCTTGGTTTCTCTTCTACCCAGAGTTCTTTACTGTCTTAAAAGTGAAAATGCCGATTGCTCCCACCTAAACCCTTTCAAATGTCACAGACCTCTTTGAAGTGTAAAATAGCTGGGTTTTTTTCAAAGCTGCTTTTGACTTAATGGGTCTTGTGGATCTGCTCCTCTTTCCAGCTTCAGTTCTCATTGACATTTGCCTCCTGCCAATCTTCTTCCATCTTCCCTCCCTTTCTTTCTTCCTTTCTTTCTTTTCTTTCTTCCTTCCTTTCTTTTTTTCTTTCTTTCTTCCTTCTTTCCTTCCTTCCTTCCTTTTTCTTTCCCCCCTTCCTCTTCTTTTGGCCTTGATTTTGAACTTGATCTCATCAGCCGTGTGGATCAAGAGACCCTGTCAGAAAAAGAACAAAACTATTTTCCAACAGATTGGTCAATGGGCTTTGAATTTTTTTTTTTTTTTCAGATTATGTTCTGAAAAGAAGTCACTCTAGACATTACCTAACTAAAAGATTCCTTCTCCAGAATTTAAGCAGATTTCCATATTTAGGGTGCGAGGTTGCATTTTTCATGATGAGTTGGACGAATGGGAGCAAGCCAGAACCAGTGCTGTCAGCCTGGGACCTTTTGAAAACAGCAGGCCTCACTGTTCACACACAGACAGGCATGCCGGCTAGTTTTAATTGTCAATTTCTCACAGTCTAGAATCACCTGGGAAGGGCATCTTAATGAGGAATTACCTAGATTATCTTGGCCTGTGGGCAGTCTTTGGGGAATTATCTTGACTGTTAATTGGTGTAGGAATACCCAGTCCATTTATGTGGTGCCATTCTCTAGGCAGGGCTTCACAGTGTAAGAGAGGGAAAAACTAGTCAAAAGCAGGGAATCAAGCCAATAAGCTTGCAAGATTGTATTGTTCCCTGCTCTCAAGTGTGGTTGTGCTATGACTAGCTGCTTGAGTTCCTGGCTTGACATCCACCTCAGTGATAGATTGTAACCTGGGAATTCAACTCAAGATAAACCCTTTCTCCCCTAAGTCACCTTTGTCAGGGTATTTTATACCAGCACCAGAAATGGAACTAGAACAACAGGATTCTGAGTTCTGGTCTACATTTTAGGTAATTCTTAACCTAGTGACTCCTGGATATCTGCCCTTCTCCAGCTTCTCCAGGCACAGAAAATGGTTGTAGTGAAAAAAATAATAATTTAATAGGGAAGCTTAGAGACTAAGATCAATAATATCATCACTGATTTTCAAAGAACCCAATCTATCATTTGTTTTTTAACCTAGCCATAAAAAAATAATCTCTCCCTCCCTTCATAGGAACTCATGAGTTCCCAACCCCAAATTGAGAGCTATTGACAGCTAGTGACTTCTGAGGGAGAGTGAGTCAGTTTTCCTTAAAGGTGTGACTCCTGGTAGTTTGACCAGGCTCCAGTGGTTGTCTCCATACCAATGTTTATGGAGAATACAACAAATCGGACTTACTGGAGTATGAAAGAGGTGGAGGAGACAATATCGAGGAGAAGACTTAAAGTTGGGAGGGGGTGAGAAGTGGAGTGTGGAGGGTGGGTCAGAGATGAATCTGGGAGGAATTCTGAGGAGAAATCAATGTGGAAACTATCATAGTACATTGTTTTCATGCATGAATTTCTCAAAGAATTAATGAAAATGTATATTCATTTTTAATCACCTCCTTCCTATTCAATCCTTAACAGTTCATAGTTTATACTTCTACTGGCTAAGATTCCCTAAAGTTTAAATTTTCAGCTTTTTCAACTCTTTGTATATCCTCGAGCTAAATAATAGTTACTGCTAAATGTTCATTCTATTTAGCCTCCTGTATTATAAAAGAATGCCAGAATGGCTCCCCATTCCCACTTTAAGCAGATTTGCTTTTCTTTGCATTACCAATGTCTCTGAATTGCTAAATATGACATTTAATAGGCTTATTCTCATAAGAAACAATAAAATGCTGCTGGAGTTCTCTGCTATTGAAATGATCAAAGACTTTGAACCAGAGAAAACCCATTGTGAGTAGATGTAACAAAACAACTTAATTCCATTTGTAAAGTCTTGTCCCTGCCAGGCAGCTTCTGGGACAGATTCTTATAAAGAAATCAGTCCAGTCACAACTCCTGCTCCTGTGACCAGGACCCTGTCTTCACAAGCATGTCTGCTATTGGCTTTGCTGGTCCCTCTGCAGCACTTGCCAGCCTTTGCTTAGGGTTCATCGTAGTGTAAAATATATCTTCATTCAAGAATTAGAGGAGGAAGCTGAGTGTAGAGACAATGCCTGTGATCACAGCACTTGAGATGCTAACGTGGGAGGATAGAGAACTCAAGGCCAGCAGAAGCCACACAGTGAATGTGAGACTAGCCTGGGCTATATAGTGACACACTCTCTAAAAGGAAGAAGAGAGAGAAAGTCAGAGCGGGTGGGGGTGGGGGAGAAAGGATTCATATGTTTTAAAAGGATGTTGATACTGTGTTTGTGGCAAACAAAAACAAAAAAATCCCGAGGATCATTCCTTATAAGTTTAACTTATGCCATTGTGTCTTTCCTATAAATATAGTAGTTTTAGGGGACTTCTTTTTTTTTTTTAATCAGGTGCCAGAAGAATTAACCAGTCATATAACCAAGCTATTATAAGATAAGGAAGGTTTTAAAAGGCATACAATTTTGGTATTTTTTTTTTCTTGGTGTGTTGAGAGGAGATATGTGAGTGTGCTTGTGTTTCGTGGATTTTTTTTTTTTTTTGGCTCATTTGCTCGTGATTTTCTGATGGTCTTGCTGCAAAGCACAGAGTATCTCAGCCTCCTATGTGCAGGTGTTATCCTGCACCACCATACCTAGCCATAAAGGATTTTAAGGTTATTTCTTTAGATGCCCACTGTCAAAGTAAAGGAAAAAAATTGGGAAAGGAACATTTCCATTTGAAATAGCTCTCAGACACTTGCTGCTTAAACTATCTATATTGGACTTATAAGATCCAATGTGTTACCTTGCTCTAACCATGCACCTGTCACCTATCTTATTCTGCCCTAGATTGTCTCAGGGTGAGTTACTTCAGCCTTTGCCTCAGAGTTATGTATATGAGAACAGTGGGAACAGCAGCCACTATTAAATGGAATTGAATTATTCTCCAGAGTTTGCAGAAGAGTAACAAGACAGTATTTTTCTTTTCCTAGAAAATGGGCAAATGTACATTCAGAAAAAGCCAACCATGTACCCACCCTGGGACAGCACCTTTGATGCCCACATTAACAAGGGGAGAGTGATGCAGATCATCGTGAAGGGCAAAAATGTGGATCTCATATCAGAAACAACCGTGGAGCTCTACTCCCTAGCAGAGAGATGCCGAAAGAACAATGGAAGGACAGAGGTATGGGTAAGTATCAGAGCTGCGAACTGTTTGAAGGGTGTGCACCCAAACCTTGAACTTCTGACTCTCTTCCCTCCACCTCCCAAGTGCTGGGTTTACAGGTGTGTGCCACCACACTCAGCTAGTGTGCACCATGATGCTAGATATTGAGTAACTTAAAATGTCCCTGTCATCCCACAGTCATGAGGACACTAGCCATGGATAAGCAGACTCCCTGTCACATATTCCTTGGTGATTTGATAATTAAAATGGCTAGTCGTGGGCTGCAGAATGTATTGAAAACCTCGAATCACTTGGATGCCTATGTATGGAGAGGGGGGTCCTGGGTAATGAATAAGTTACTGATTTATTACTCTTAAGGTACACCTGGAAATATCACTAATTCCCCTTCACTGGAGAGGTTCTTATCTGCTTATTATCCTGTCCAAATATAAGATGACAGAAACAAGACTCATTTCATATCTGGTTTTCTCTCTCAGCTCCTTGTCAATGTGTCTTTCAGCCATAACGAAGTAACTTATCCCGTACTGAGAAATATGTCATTCACAATTCACCATGCCACATTAAGTTTTGGAAAAACTGAGTTGTAATTGGGTGGGCAGTACATTCTTAGAAATAAGAAAAGGGAAAGCAAAATATGAAAAAATTAAAACAAGCAAATGAGGATTTCTGGGACACAAAACCCAGATGACATATATTAGTCAAAGCCACCTTCTATATAGATTGAAAGCCAGAAAAATATTTTCATATGTGTATGTTGTTTATGCCAAAGTACCAAAACTCCTTACCTTTCTACCTGAGGTCTGTAATTCAGATATTAGCAGGACTTCTGAGAAGCTCTCAAGTTACAGCATCCACATGGCAATGATGGGAACCTAGAAATGATGTTCTTGTGTGCCTGTGACCTCACACTGATTTTGTCTTCTTAAGAAAAGCACCGAACTCATCCTTTCTGTCACTAAGTTAATATTTAAGGAAAAACACTTGCCAAAAAATTTTAAGGTGCCTGTGCTTACATGTATTTAGGCAATGCCATTCAACAGTACACACAGAGCAGCCCTTCACTCCATTTGGGGAGGGGACTGTGGCAATCCCAACTCCTGTAGACTGGCTGCTCAGGCAAGTGGGAAAGGTCAAAGAACTGGAGGGTGCTGCCAATGTTTGATTGGGTGTTAAGGAGTACAGTTCAAGCCAATGAAGATGTGGGGCTCTAGCTGGCTCTGAAGCACAGGAGGGGGTTGGCTAGGCAATGAGAGGGAAGAGACAAGTCATAGACCACCCCCCATTCCTGTGCCTGCCTGTTTCCATGTATTTTCTACTTTCCACCTAATTTATTTTAATGAAATTAGGCTGCTCCCTAATTCTTATAATAACTTACAATCTATGGTTTCTTCTCAATGAAGAAACAGATAGTCACTTTTCCTTTGTCCTTCTGTAATAAAGTACAGACTTCATTCACGAGCAGTTTGCCATTCTATATCTATCTTTTTAAAGGCATCTTTAATCCCGCATCACAAGTATTGCCGATTTTTCCTCTCTTCCTCCTCTCCTACTTTGTTTTGTTAGGCAGAGTCTTGTTACGTAGACCAGGCTAGCCTTGACCTACCAGCAATCCTCCTGCTTCAGTATCCTGAGTGTTGGGATTACAGGCATGCACTAGATACATGTGTGCACTTGCAAGACTTCCTTCTGCAGCCTAGGACTGTTGGATGTCAGTACATAGCAACGTTCACAACCTCATTTAGCACCTAGCACACTTTCTGTATTATTGAGCCTTATTTTTTAGGGTGATTTCTTGGTATACTTTAATCTCAAGTGCCCCCAGATTATTTTGAATTGATATTTTACCTTGTTTTGTGGTTATCAGCAGTTTTAAAATGGATTTCTTTATTTACCAAAAAACAAACGAACAAAGATTTTTCTAATTGCTGTTCATGCCCATCCTGGCTATAAAAGCCACATTGGTCTTCCCTTCGTGCTCCCCATGGTTGTATTTGCAAGGTTTTCCCAGTCACTCTCCAGTGCTTTATAAAACATGACTTTGCAATAGGTTCCAGATTTAATTTCCTCTATCACCACCTCTTTGTGAATGCTGATAATCCCGTGGTGACCAAGTTTGATAGTCTCCTTTGAAAATGGGCCTCAGATTCTCCCTATCTTGTTCTGGCTTTGCCTTCATTTTTGCTATACCAGAATTTAGAAAATGATGGTGTCTATTTTTATGGTCTAAAGTGATTCTCTTTACGTTAATCAGTTTAAGTTTGTGTGAGAATTTATAGCTGTTCCAAAAACATAGCTTTATGACATTGTAAAGTCTGATAGTAGGGGTCCTGCCAGTCTTTGAGATTTCATTGAAGACCTGGAGATTTGCACATGGTCATGCAACCAAGAAATGGCCTGTCAATGATTTCAAGTTTAATTCAGGATTCAATGGGACATTTCCTGCTGTCTCTCCCTTATTACAGGCAACTATCGCTGTGAGGGTCAATAATAAGTCACTTTTGAGCCATATCTTGTCTCGATCTATTTATTTCACTAATGGCATAGTATGATGGTTTTACATTTATCATATATGTGTACATGCATGCATATACATACATACACATATTCAGGTACATGCATATATAAATATTTACATGAGTATCTCTAAAAGAGTGCTATCTGTATCCTTTTACTCCTGCATATGCACATTACATGGTATCCTGCATAAGCCTTTAAAATAGCACATTGCTCTGGTATCTTCTACATGAGACTGTCTATATATGTATGTATGTATGTATGTATGTATATATATATACATGTATGTATACGTATATATATATATCTCATATAATTGTAATGTATAGAATATATAAATACTATGCATATACTTATTCTAAAATATATACCAAATAATTTAATAATTGCATGTAACATATACATATATAAAACTTTCAAGAACCACTTAATTAAATTTTTCTGCAGTCGTTTTACAAATGCTTGTGATAGAAAAAGGATACTCCATGAATTATACCCAGATCTACCTGGATTCATAACCCTCATAGTAAGCAAGAGAAAGCCCCTCAGAGAAGGATTTATCCTTACTACCTAAGACCTGCTTTTTCCCAAGTGAGCAAGGCTTGGCATCCAGGATTCTCTGTCATGATTAATATCTGGGGCTGTGTGCTTGCCCTCTTCAGGTAAGCACACTGCAAGGAAACAGATTCTGTTTTTGAATTTTGTTCCTTCTGTCAATTTTGATCCTCAAATAAAATGAATGAATTGCCAAGGCATTCCATAAAAGGACAGTGTCTGTCCCAGGTGCTGCTAATGATATCAATGAACACGATGACAATGAGCTTTAGTGGAGAAAAGCCAAGATCATTCTCTCGTGGACCTCTGCCACCAACTACGTAGCCAGTTAGGAGGTCCTAGAGCCAGGGTTGGTTTCACATTCTGAAGATGTTTCTCTCATTCTCTCTCCCAGTTAGAGCTGAAACCTCAAGGCCGAATGCTAATGAATGCAAGATACTTTCTGGAAATGAGCGGCAAGTGATATTTCTTCTTCCTGTTTGGGGGTGAGGAGGGCATGGCCTGTTCGGCAAAGGCTCATTTTGCTTCTGCAGTATCCTAGGAAAGAATTGGGGAAAAAGAGAAATGCAACGAATTCTATTAAAATTCTTAATGGTATTCAGGCAGGAATTGAAAACACAGAACAAATATGAATGCATGAGCATAGTATAAATGTAAACATAAAACATTTACAGAGATGATCTTTAAATGGTATAAACTTACATGCCTGGTGCTTTTATAGTCTCTCTATTTTAGTTCTGGGAATTTAATATGAATAAAAAAGGCTTCTCCTGCATTGCTGTGTGTAAGCACATTGCCTATTTATAAATAATGTTCTATATCCAGCATTCCATTATCCTAGAATACAAAATAAGAAACTGAAAATATCTTCTATAAAACTAGTATCAAATGCAAAGGCCTAAAGTTAGTCACCTCACATTCTCTTAGGAATAAGGAAGGAAAAAAAAATGCATTGCCAAAGAGTTTCAGTTCCATGTAGCACAAAAACGTGGGTCCCAGAAGTTAAGCTTACAAGTCCTGTGTGTGCACTAGGTGCCTGTGAGAGCCAGGCACTATTGTCTCTGTGAATTAAATACTACTGTTTATAAAATCCTAAACCACGGAATAAGCATGTGAACTCAATAATGATAAACTGTAAAAAAAAAAAAAAAAAAAAAAACACTTCAGGTTCAGTCAGTATCACTTGTCCAAAAAAGCTTAAGACCAGAAAGGTTTCAGATTTTGAATTATTTGGGGAGCTGGGGTATTTATTTGGAGATCTGAATCCAATTCTGAACAGAAAACTCTTATATATTTCATGTAAAAGTTAAACACTAACCTGAAGATGATGTTATGTGGTGTTTTGAATAATTTTGTACATGAGGCAATGCTTTACGGTAAAGAAATTTCTAGTTGTGGATCTTATCTGTGCTCAAAATATGTTTAGCATTTTGGGTTTTGGACCCAGGATGCTCAAACCGTACCAACAAGAAATGAAGTTTAGTTCAGAGATTTATACTGTTTTTATTTAACGTATGTAAGTCCTAATATGCCCAGATTTAAACAGCATTGTATGACAAGCAGGGAAAACTTGAACACTTACCAGGTGTATAGAAATATTCATATTCAGGCACGGTTAGTAGACGTTTTAGGTCTGCTAATGAGGTTATAGCTGTGTGCTTTGTTTTTCTCATTGCTCTGAAAAAAAAAATCAACTTAAGAAAGACTTTGTTTGGGCTCAAAATTGAAGAGATATAGTTAACTATGGGTGGGGGTAGGAACATGGCAGCAAAACTCCAAGCTGATTGAGTCCAAATCATCAGTGTCACATTAAGAAATAAAGCACTCCCCTTGGAGTCATTTAACCAAAGTGAGTGCAGATTTGAAGTCTCTTCGTGCGCCCTGTGTCCTCCATCCTGTCTGTTGAATAAGACTGAATCTGTGCCTGCCTGAAAGCTATCTTGTGAATCTATTCCTGTGTCCATCTGTGTGTGTGTGTGTGTGTGCACACGCGCGCGCGCGCCTTATGCATCTCTATGTGTGAATGGTATCTGCCTGAGTGGTGTGACTGTATGTCTCTAACAAAGGGCCTTGTTCTGTCCTTATTGAGCAGCATAGAAGTCATTACATAGAGAAGGAATGGGATGTTTTACAGAAATCTTTTTTTTTTTTTTAACTTCTTTATTGAAGCTTTGGGGGTTTCACAATATAAACCCTAACTCTGTTCACTTCCTGGTCCCCTCATGTTTTACAGAAATCTTTAACAGAGCTTTAGAAGAGATTAAATCACTGACTCCAACTCATTCCAACTAACCCAGACAGCTTATATCATTATTTACCAACCAATACCCATTAACGGTTGCTTTCTGCCTTTATGGTAGATTTTAGGAAGTTGCTGTCAACTTCTACATTTGCTGGTTTCAGCAAATAACACACATGCATTAGTCTGGGGCAAGGAAGAGTGTGTAACTTTAAATTGTAGCTATGCTTTAGATTAGGTTGTAAAAGTTGATTTCGTGGGAAATCCGAGGCAGCAAAGCTTGATTGTTAGATTGTTCTCTTAAAGGCAGGTTAAACAAAGAGGCTGCATGCACAGAAGGATAGCCATCGTAAGTGACCTCATGTTGTGTCATTAACTCTGGCTGTGAGGTCCAGCCAAAGTTCCAGTCTCTTTGTAAAGTAAGAGATGTTTTCAGAATGTGGCATTGTCACACAAGGCAGCTGACCACTTCAGGTACTTGGTCAGGACGCAGAGAGCGATGTATGCTAGTGTTCAGTTGGAATACTGGTGCTTAGCTTTCTTTTTATTTTTCTCTTTTATTCTTTATCCTTTTCCTCTTTTTATTAGTCTGGTAGCCCAGGCTATGAGATGGTATGGTCCACATTTGGTGTGGATCTTCCTCAGTTAAACCTTTACAGAAACACCCTCCCGTGCATTCTCTTAGATGACTCCAAATCTAGGAAAATTGACAGTGAGAAACAACCAGAACAAGGTCCCCCCCACCCCCCATCAACTTAAGACCCGAACACATCCCTTTAGTCCAGAACATTAACCCTGACCTCCTAAATGTCCGTAGCCATCTCATAATGCACTTAGTTCATCTCCTAGAGCCCCCCACCAAGTCTTAATAGTTCTAATGTACTTCAAAATCCCAAAATCTCTTCTGAGAATCAAAGCAATATCTATGACCCAAACCCCTGTAAAACCAAAGACAGCTTATAATATACAATGGCTAGAGTAAACATTTTCATTCTAAAAGATTTGTGACATAGCAAAGAAATAAGACCTAAACTCAACAGTGAAAATACCAAATTATGTTTCCATGCAACTTCATGTTTGGCATCTAAGGTTTTTAGTGGCAGCATCTGGGCTCAAATAGGCTTGGGTATCCCTCCTGCACTAATTCAGTTGCCTGCACGTGTAACCTGTCTTGGACTGGTTCTATTCCATGCCTGTTGCTTTCCTTGACAAACACCCCACATCCTGGCAAACATCTCCAACATCCTGGAGACTCCATTTCACCTTAGGATTCATCATCATAGCTTCATGAAATGGCCTTTCAGGGCTTCCTTTTGCAGGGAATCCAACCCTGTCACTGATTGTCAGGCCTTAGTGGATTTTGGAACCTTGGTGTAATCCTCCACGACCCCATAGTTTTTACATGCCTACAAAACTAGCACCAAGTCAATGATACTGACAAATTCCAGTGTTTGAAATGTAGCCTGGCTCCTTCTACCCCAGCTGGTATGGTCCCTGCACACCTTTTGCAGCCAAACCTAGTAAAGCACTTGCATAGGTAGTTGTTTTCCAACAGGGAACCCCTTCATCAGCATTCTCTGTTCAAGTTCTTTCCTTTCAAATGAATTTAGATTTTCACAAGTTGAAGCCTTAAATGGGTGGATAGGATTTAGCTGTGCAGAGCCAGAGGTATGTACCTTTCCATTGTTCCAGTATGAGCCCCAAGACAGCATTGGTTGACCAGCTCTTACTTATTTAACTTCATGACTAGATTATAAATTAGACATATAATCAGAAATACATGATAATTAGATGGTTTGGTAGGACACCCCTGAACATTCAGTAGTTTTCAATTCCTCTTGGTTCTTAGATAATAGCTATTCCAAAGTCCTACCTACCTTCTAACAAACTCATAGCTCTTGCTTTCTTGGGTGTCTTACCCTTTTCCCCACCTTGAAGGTCAGGCTTGGCCTAGTGTAATTCATGGCAACTTCACCTTCTGCCTGTGTGCCTTTGGAAGCAGCTGTTTTCTCTTCCTGTTCCTCTGTCTCAGAGAAAGTCCCTCCCTTTGTTGACCTCTTATTTTGTCCTTGGTAGCTCTGCCCCATCAATGCACTTCCTCTCTAACATCAACTTTCCCTTTTCTCTGTGGTTTCCTCCTAATTTCTAGGTCGTCCTATGTTAAGCTTTCTTTTCTTATCTTGAAAATACATATATTAACCTTTTGCCTTTCTGGGTATTTCTCTTCCCTTTCCCTGACATGACATTTAGGTTATTATTATTATTTTTTTTCCTTAAGATGTGATCTCAAGTGGCCAGGCTGACTTCAAACTTGTTGTATAGTTGAGGATGACCTTCAACTCTTGATCTTCTTACGTCTGACTCCCAAGTGCTAGGATGGGATCAGAGGTGTGCATCACTGCACTGGTGTTATGCTATAGACAGAATTTAACCTAAGTCTTTGTGCATAAGAAACAAGCACGCTACCAACTGAGATACATCCCCAGTCCTCCCTGGCATTCTTGAAGATACAGCTTATGCGTATTAGTCATTCTTTTTTCATTGTTCCTTTGCTTGTTTTCATTTTTCCTTTTACTGAAAATGGATTGTTTTTCTCTCATAATATATACTGATTATGGCTTCCCCTCTCTCTACTCCTCCTAGATCTTTCCTCTGTCTCCCTTCTCATCTATATCTACCCCTTTTATATCTCACTAGAAAACAAACAGGCTTCTATGAGATGAAAATAAAACAAAGCAAGATATAATAAAATGTAATAAGATGAAACAAAAACCAACACATAAGAACTGGAAAAAATAGAAGGAAAAGAGTCCAAGAGAAGTCACACTCAAGATTCCCACAAAAATACTAAAGTGAAAGCATATATATATATATATGCAAAGTACCTATAAAGTAAAAAAGAGAAAAGACATATTATATATATATATATAATGAAAGTAAAAAATAACGATGAAATAATTTTTAAAGGGAAAGGCTTGATATGCATTATGAGATAAGGAATCTCCAGAGATGTCACTGAGTTTTCTGTTGACCACGTAGAGCCGGGCGTGCAGCCTCTCCTTAAGAGCAGTATGTTTTCCCAGTAAGACTCCCATGGAGGAAACTAAATTTTCATTTGGATGTGATGACCAGCCAGAGATTTATTCTGGATTAGGGATGGGGCATATATCCAGCACCTTTGATTCTTAAACCCTAAAAGTGGGGCATATATCTTGATCAATCTACTAATATGGCTTTCTCTGAGATATTGAACCTTCTGCACAAATTCCTATTTTTTTTTCAGCCTTCAACTTCTTTGACATTTCTTCATGCCAAGTCTGTATGTATCCAATATTTTCCCTTAAATTTTGAGCTTTCTCTATTTGTTTTCTTTAGTAATTTATTTTCCTAGATCCCCAAACCATCTGGATGTATTTTACACTATCACACACTGACTCTTATAAATAGTTCTGTTGTCTGTCTGTTCTTTGGCTTGGATGTAGATGCTCAATGGTTGGAAATACCACCTCAGAATGCTCAACACAGAAATTTAGATGCTCAGGAAACATCAGTGTTTGATTGATTGCAAACAAGTCAATTAAATAAAAAGTCTGGAGATGTTTGTACAAAAGAAATGACCAAACAAGTCATTTCAGAAATAAATACTGCCAATACCAAAAGAATTAAAAAGTCTATGTTCTTGCATAGGTATAATAACTGAAAAGATTAGAGATTAAAGGAAGCCACTAGAAAGAGTAAGAGAAAATTCATTTCATTTCTGGAATATCCTAATGTTTTTTTTAAGTTTACTGTAGTCTAATTTGTAGAAGGTTATATACATACATAGACATAAATGATATAGGTATAGATTTAGGTGATAGATGTGCATATACATATTTATAATAACAGTTGGGGCTCTAGAATATTTATTTTATTCCATAGATTACAAATGTTTCATACTTTTACTTATTCCATTTCATTGTATCTGAAAATAGAAATGTCTGATTTTATTAAGAACGGACACATACAGGTCACAGTTTTAGATTTATCTATATAGTTATCCCATAAATCAAGGAAGAAAATGATTAACAGTGACAATCTCTCACTCACACCAACCAAGCCCAGTTTATTCCCCTCCTAATTCCAAATCAAGTAATCTGACAAATGCATCCTGAAAGTAGTGGGCAAAACATTGTGGCCTATCTGAAGAAATATGAGGAAAGTATGGGGAATTCCCTGCACATAGAAGCTTGTGATCTCTGTAAAATAGACGCAGAAATGGCTGTTAAGAAGATGTGAGTTCTAAACTCTATCATAAAATTCAGATGGATTCCTAGGGATAGGCCTCTACCTGCACAAAATCTCATTTGTCTAGCTATTGACAATGGCAAAGTAAGGTTCCTTGGAAGATACACCCACCTCAAGTGTATGATTAGACCTCACTGCTGAGCCATAATAGAAGCACTTTAGTCCCATATTGTTAATTCTTTATGCATCTGAAATATGATGAGCACTAATTCTAAATTTTCATTTTTGTCGATAAAAAGAAACAGCAAGTGATCCAACAATCTCCAACCGAATACAAATTATGATTCTAAGCATTACAATCATATTTATTATCTTTGCTTTGTGATAGGTCATGGTGTTCATTATTTCCTTATTACTTATCATCTTAATTCTTATCCATTTGCTGAAGTGTTCATTGCGCTACTTAGTGACTTATCATTTTGTGTTCCTTGTGAGTCTTGACCATCAGCCTAGGCACTGTAGATTTTCTCAGGATTCTGTCACCTTAGATTCTTCCAACCCTTTGGCAACTTTTCCATCTGAGCATAAGATGCTATGGACAATGACTACCCACAAGCACTGCACCGATTTAATACATTCAAATTTGACAGCTTGAAGTAAATGACACAGGATGACCTAGACATCTGAACACATACTTCAAAGTGTTAGTATTAATTTTCTGGCACTTTCTGTAGCAGAGGCTGTAGCTTCACAACTGATCACTATAGCCATCAGGAGACAGTACATTAAACTTCTCCCCCCAAGTTCTTTGCCCTCATGAAAAGGACTGCACAGCTCCTTTCAATCTTTGGTACCCTGTCTAAACACAACGCTATGCAAAGCACCCTGGCACCAACATTCTTTATCCCTCTCATGTCACTGTCAGCCACATTACTCTGTGAAATTACAAACTTGAAATGTCAGAAGTCTGGGCTTCATGAGCTAAAGAAGCAAACAATGGACCAATCCAACCCTTTAGTTATACTTCCTGCAATGGTTCCTTACTGCAAATTAATAACAAGCGTAGTGTCATTCCCTCCTTCACAAGCCCTTGGAAGGTCAGTGTGCACTCAGCACCTACTGCTTCTGCTCAAGTCCCCACCCTCTCTGCCCAGCTATGGCTATCATACTGCTTCACTGCACCCCCTGTTCTCTCTCTACAGACACCAAGGACATGAGTGACTTTGAGAATGAAGGATTCTTTGCATTGCATCATCGCCGAGGAGCCATCAAGCAGGCCAAAGTTCACCACGTGAAGTGCCACGAATTCACAGCCACCTTTTTCCCCCAACCCACGTTTTGCTCTGTCTGCCATGAATTTGTCTGGTACAATAACTTGGTATTTTCCTCCCAAGCTTCAAGATATTCATTTTGTCACTGTTAAGCACTGTGTGCCCCACCATGAGGGAGTGTGAAGTACAGGCTGAGTACTGTAGAATGGTGGCCAGTGGGTCCGCCAGCCCGATTCAACACAAGGATTTTATATGGCTCTTGAAGAGAGAGACTCACTCCAGAAAGAGTCTTCTGTTAGCTAGCTTTCCTTGACTATGACAAAATACCCAAACTATCAATAACAAAAGAGAACAGGTTTATTTGGGCTCCCAGTTTCAATAAAGGTTCCCTATCCCTTTTATTTTAGGCCTATGACAAGGCAAGACTTTGAGGCAGGACATAGCTGCTTAAGGCACCTTACACCTTCAGGAAGCAAGAGAGGGGAGAGAAAGCACCAGGATCCCAACATTCCTTCCAAGGGCATACCCCAGTGACCTTACTTCCTTTTACCAGATACTACCTCTTATGGTTCAAATATGACCACTGGCTGGGGCATTTGAAGTCTAAACTATAAGAAGGTCCAATGGAATTTTTGCTTCAGAATAAATGAGAGACTGCTGGTATATGAGGGAAGGAACAGGTGAGGGAGTATTGTTATTGTAGGCAAAGCTGTATCATTTTATAGCCAGCACCTCCATCATCCCGATAGCCCCACTGCTGCCTCGCTGCACTTTGCACCAGACAGCACTATCCCACCGTAACAAATAGCTCAAATGAAGCTCTTGGGTGTCTTAGCCTTGGAGATCAGTGTAACCACACAGCGAAAGCTACGGTAGAGTGGGAATGAAATGATGCTTGTTTCTACTCTCAACATCTGTGCCCGATAAGAGATGCTGGTCCCCTCAGACTCCTGCAGAATCATTAATGCACAAGTGCCCACTTCATGGGAGTACCCTCAACCAGCAGATTAGGGTGAACTCTCATTAACTGTTTTTCCTCTAATCACCCAAATCTCCTTTGTTTCTAATCAACAGTGATGCTCAGGAATCCATCTTTACGTCAGGCTTTACGGGTAGTGAGTATTCTCGGACTCTAAATGAGGAACTAAGATACTTCACAGATGAGTGAGGCAGTGACTCGCTCACTAATTAAACCTCTTCAGTGAGGGAAATAGAAATGTATTGCTAGGAACTTGTGAGAGATGCATGACGGTCTGTGTTGTTAGCAGTTTGCTTCAAAATGCAAAGATGAGAAGAAACTTAATCTCACTTAATTGATTATAAAAATTTAAGTAAAGCAACATAAACCTAAAATAATTTCTTAGTAAGTGATACACATGGGTCACTAATCAGAGGAAATCCTCTATAGTCTCAGGAATATCCCAAACTCATTTACCTAAAAAATATTCCTGCTGCTAATGTCGATATGAACGTGCATTTAAATCTCACGTTGTTTTGTTACAGGGGGCTGAACAAACAGGGCTACCAGTGCCGACGTAAGTATAAAGCAGTTCAGTTGTATCTTCAGTATTCTTTGAATTGAATTGTTCCTCCAGAAGTTAAAAGTGGCCATTGTTTCTTTTCAGAATGTAATGCTGCGATTCATAAGAAATGTATCGATAAAGTGATAGCCAAGTGCACAGGGTCAGCTATCAACAGCCGAGAAACCATGGTATTGGCACATTTAGATTCCATCTCTTTACTCTCTTAATTTTTCCAGCAAATCAGATTGTCAGCTTCACTCTCAATCTCCATAGATATCCAGACATAGTGAGTTAAATGGATATGTATTTTAGACAGGAATAGTTTGATCTCTGGGTTATCCTTATTCCTTGCACATTCGAGGGGACATTATCATCAGAGTTCTGTTATTCACCTAAACCTGGAATAGTACTGTTCTGTAGAAATGAAATGACAGCCATGTGTGGAATTTTAACCATTCATGTGGCCCCATGGAAAAAGAAACAGACAGGTTGTGGTTGTGGTGCTGTAGGACTGAAGTTCAGGGCACTGAGGCAGGAGGATTACAAGTTTAAGGCCTGTTTGAGCTATAAAGTGAGTTCAAGGCCAGCCTGTGTGACTCAGTGAGACTCTGTCTAGAAATAAAAAGTATAAAGCAGACTGGCAATGTGGCTTAGTGCTGGTGTACCTGTCTAGCATGTGAGTGGTCCTCGCTTCAGCTTCCAGTGCCACAAGAATAAATAAAGTCATCTAAAGAATAAACAAATAAAAGTCATTTTAATCACATATTTAATTGAACCAAGCCTACTGCTATTTCAATATGTCATCAATATAAAATATTTTACACTATTTTTTCTTACTGACTCTTCAGATCCTACTGTGTAGTTTGCACACGCTTAAATTCTAGCCCTCCACCCTACAGGTAGGTGTTCACTAACTCAGATCAATATTCATCAGCTAGAACCCACAGAGACAGCTGACCTGAACAAGGGGGAGCTCATGCACCCCAGTCTGATAGCTGGGAAACCAACATAGGACCTACCCAGAGCCCCTGAATGTGGTTGTTAGTTAGGAGGACCGGGAAGTCTATGGGGCCTCTGATAGTGGATCAGTATTTATCCCTAGTATACGAATGAACTTTGGGAGCCCATTCCACATAGAGGGATAGTTTTTTAGTCTAGACACATGGGAGACGGCCTAGGCCCTTCCCCAAATCATATGACAGACTTTGAAGAACCCCATGAAAAGCTTCACCCCCCGCGGGCGGGGGGAGGGGGAGGGGGGGGGGGGGGGGGGGGGGGGGGGGGGGGAAGGGGAACTGGGATTGAGTTGTAAAAACAAAAAAAAAATCCTGTTTTAAAAAAAATGGAAAAAGAAAAAACAAAACAAAAGAATCCCCAACTGTTATAGCTGTGTCTATTCAGCCACTTCTCAACATTCAGTGTTCCTAGATCTTGATGGCATCATGCAATAGCAAATGGGTGTTTCCTTAGCTCACACCTGAAAAACAGGTCAGTATCTCCTCTTCCTGGCATGGTCACCCCGTCTGTCAAGACAGCTGTCTCAGACATCTGCTGTGGGCAGATGCAGTTGCCACAAGTACTCTCACCTGGAAGAGCTGCAGGCCTCTTCAAATACCCCCAGGAAGGTGGTAGGCAGTATGATGATTAAAGGATCCATGCTACGCATGTTTTCATTACAATCACCATGAGTCATACATCTAGGAGATTATAGAAGTTGAGGCCAGTCTAGGAACACATATGAAGCCAGGTCTTCTGTCATTCTTTCAGTTCCACAAGGAGAGATTCAAGATTGACATGCCACACAGATTCAAAGTCTACAACTACAAGAGCCCCACCTTCTGTGAGCATTGTGGGACACTGCTTTGGGGACTGGCGAGGCAAGGACTCAAGTGTGATGGTAAGTACAAAGGGGTCAGTGTGGGTCCGTAGAAGGGACAAGAGAGGCTCTAGAATCATGACCTCTGCACCCATCTTCATGTGCCCATGAAAATGGACACCACCTCCCTGAGACAATAGACTTGAGTTGCTATCCTTCCAGCCTGCCACATCTCTATCTTCACATCCAAGGAGAGTGCACACTGATCAGATTCAAGGTTTAGGTTCAATAATTAGGGTCAAAGTCAAGGTCCAGCAGGTCAAGGTCATAGCTCAATAGCTCAGAGTGAAGCTCAAAGATCCTGATCCCACATTTTAATGTTGTACTCAGTCTGGAGTGAAAGACAGTATTCCTCTTTTGACTGGTCCTCGGCAGAGGACCCAATCTGTTATCCTTAGATTCTGGGCTTCCCCATCTGAAGTCTAATATATTGAGTTGTGTAGAGCTCCTCCCCTCCTCCTTAGGACTAGTTAATGAGATCATTTCTGTCGCCCCATCAAGGACAAACATGTGTCCATTTGACTAGTATAGTTTTAGTGAGAGGAACTCTGGGGCATTAGCTGTGGAGTGCACCCTATGGCTAGGAACTCCAAGTATCCAGAAGAAACTATGATTAGTGTATATTGTTTTATTTTTATTGTATTTACATTCATGCTACCATTTCCTGAAAGTGGAAGTACTCAGACCTCTATTGAAAAGAGAAACAAGGCGTTCTTGATCTAAAACTCTCAAGTTTAAAAACTGATATGCTTTAACTACAGAGTCACGAGAGCAAAAATGTCTAACAAAGATCAACAAGGCACCCTGCCTTGCAGGTGAGAGAGGAGAAGGGGAGACCTGGATGATTCACGAGGCAGTTGCTTATCACATAAAAAGACCTTTCTGATGACAAACTATCAAATACATCAGCTTTTTATTTTGCTTTGCAGCATTACTTGTTTTCTCTTCTCCTTTAAGAGCTGGAGATGGCCTCCTAAAAGCGAAGACCATCCTCTTCTTCCCCCCTTTCCTCACCTCAGTAGTGTGCATGTAAGTGGGGGCCTAAGAACAGAATCTTAGTGGAGGCAGGAAGAATTGAGTTTACCCATTATTGCCATGGTAGACATTGGTAGTCAGAGCACATCTGAAGGATCCCTTGATGGGTTCCAGGGCAACTTGTGCCATTTTCTCCTCATGCCTGTTTGTAAAGAAAACTTTGACATGCAGGATTATGGAAACTATTATTATTTCTTACCCAAACAGTGTAAACAGAAAGGCAAAGGACAACACTCTCACTGCCTGCCGCTCCTATGACCACCTCAGTCAGGTTTCATCGCCTCCGAGCCTCGGTGCCTACTTGCTAAGGCAGAGTTGATCTCCACAGCATGATTGCAAGCTTAGAATGTCCCTGAAAATTCCTTGGCATTATTTCACACTTCATGTGCTTTGCTTTACTCTTTCTAACATTCTTTTCTTCCCATTCCATCCCCTCCCCCTCTTCTCTGGTCTGTATTTCACACAACTCCCTACCCTCTTTTCTTTTATTCTAGCTCCTCTCTCCCCTTTCCTTCCCTCCCTTCCCCTTCCCACTTGAATTTCCATTTTTGTTTTTTACATTCCCTATTTCTTCCACCAGGTTTCATCCTCTCTTCTTGACTCCTCATCCTTTCCTCCAGTTATCTTTATTCCTCTCTCTTTGCCTCGCTTTTACCTTCCCTCCTCATCAGTCTTCTCCTCTAGTGCCCTGCCTCCTCAGCCTCTACGCTGTCTTCTTTCTTTCCCCACAATAATTCCCATGAAAATAGTCATCAGAAGGGACTATTTGCGCTCACAGAGGTCAAGTGTCCACCTGATAGGTTAGTAACAAAGACTCATGGTGTTACAATGGGAATAAAGGTCTTTTTTCCTGACTGAGCATCAGAGTCAAGCTTAGACCTGGCTACCATTTTATGGAGCAAAGTAAAATAAAAATCCCCATGTACCTAGTTCTCAACTGGTGTCTTACTTACATTATCTATATTCCCATCACTTGGGAAACTGAGATAGGAGAATGTCCAGTTCAAAGCCAGCCTAGGCTACATAGCAAGACTCTGTCTCAACAACAAAATAGAAGCCTTAAAACCTACTAAACAAATCCAGTGCAGTTATATCAACAATTGAAGAATTTTTACTGTCACTATTAAAGATTTTAAATATGCCTAAACAATTTTACTTTATGTGAATTTTGTAGCAAATGAAACTTATTTATATAACTAATGTTTTATGATGAACAACCTAGAAAAATATTGACTATTTAAAAGGTGAAGGCTGGCACGATTTAATCTTGATATCAAGTTTAGTTTTTATCTTAAATTGTGGGTGTGTGGGTGTGTGTGTGAGTGTGTGTGTGTGTGTGTGTGTATTTTGGTGTGTGTGTGTGTGTCTGTGCATGTGAGTGTGTATGTCTGCGCATGTGAGTCCAAATGTCAATGGAGGTCAAAAGAGAGTATTGGGTCCCCTGGAGTTGGGGGTCACAGGAGGCTGTGTGCTATATGTCGTAAGTGCTAAAACCTAAACTTGGATCCAGTACAAGAGAAGCAAGTGCTCTTAGCCACTGAGCCACCTTCCAGCCCCACCTAAATGTCTTAACATATGATGATGTAATAAATTATAATGATGAAAGAGAAGTTGTACTTTCTGAACTGAAGTCACTGTGTGAAACTCTTTGCACATGACTGGCTAATAAGCAGTGAAGATTAAATTTAGGCTCTTAGCTGTCTAACTCTATTAATGTGATGCTTAAGTACTTTGGTAGAAGCAAGTAATTCCTGAGGTTAGAGTTGCATTCTCTGGAGCATGGAATCTTCATACTAGTTTTTGTTGATTATAGTGCTGATCTTTCGAAAGGAAAATTTTCTAAAAACTACTAGCATGATGCACTAGTGGTCTTTGCATAGACTCACAAGGACATACATCCCTCTACAGACAAAAGGAGGAGCCCAAGGTCACAGGATGATGTTGTTATCAGGACATGTGGATCAGGGTACTTGTAGTGTCTAAGAGCTAGAAGCCTATATAGACAACACTAGCCCTGAAGAGAGAAAGAGCAGACAGAGACAGACAGACACACACACACACATACACACACACACACACACACACACAGAGAGAGAGAGAGAGAGAGAGAGAGAGAGGGGGGGAGGGAGAGAGAGGATGTTCTGTACAGTATTAGAGATTCTGCTCAGAAACTCTTGGGGCTTTCTGTTCAAGCTCGTGCAAGGTAGGTATGACCAGGAAACACTGTCCTCCCCACTTATGTATTGACCACTTCTCTTTCTTTTACTGTGGAAAATTAAAAACCACATCTTACAATACCTACAAAGATGAAGGTGTGCTCTCTTCTCTGAGCCTCTTTCTACTAACTATGCCACAGATGTAAAGTTAAGACATAAACTCATATGTAAGAAATACCATTTTCTTCATGACCTTGATATTAACTTAAACACAGTTCCAATAACTGTAGGGGTCCTCTGACCTTCCTGTAATTACATAATATCTTGGGGTGCATGTGTTTGGGAACCTAAAAATGGAAGCACAACCTCTATCCAGCTGTCCAGTTGATGTTGGCATCATCTAAAACCCCAGTGATGAGGTCTATGATTTTCTTTTTATGGCTTATGTGGAAGATTGTCTGATTTCATCAAATCTGAGGCCTAGTGCTTAGGTCCAGGCCTTCTAGGGGCACAGCCCTAACTTCCCTTGGCACTGCAGTCCTTTAAAGAGCTTCCTTCACTTCCCGGGCCACAATTATTTGATTTGCCCTTCCAAAGTGCCATCCAGTCTCTCGGTTCTGCTCACAGGGGACATCGGATGTCCCCACTAGCCAGGGCTCAGACCTGTACCCTCATTCCATGGTCCCATCATCACCAGTCAAGAGTTTTATTAACAATGCCTCTTCCTAAAGTGAGCCCATGGTCTCTGGGCCTCTTTCCTCCTGCCCAGTCCTATCCCTTCACACAAACACCACCTCATCCCTTATCTTTTTCCCTTCTTCAAGCTGGGGCAGCAGCTTAGGCTTCATCCCAAAGAGTAGAGAAGCCTCACCCAGGGCAGCTGGGAAAGGGGATTCTTAGTCTCCAGACCCTCTTCTATCCTAGTATTTTCTAATAAAATAACCATCAATAGAGCCAAAGTCAAACTTGGTGCTTCTATCCACTGTTCATCTCAGATACAATACCAACCTAGAGGCGAGACTGTAATGCTCCCTCAAGAAGGTATTATTTGTTAGTTTTCCCAGGGTTTCTGCCTCTGCTCCTCCTCACAGACTGCTTTCTTCCTTTCAGCATGTGGCATGAACGTCCACCACCGATGCCAGACAAAGGTTGCCAACCTCTGTGGTATAAACCAGAAGCTAATGGCTGAAGCACTAGCAATGATTGAGAGCACCCAACAGGTGATGCAGACGAGACTGTTGAGATTCTCCCTGTGTCCACTGAACAAGCCACTCAAGTGCTTTGCTCTCCTACCCTATCATCCCTATGGGATGTCCTTCTGAACACTCGCCTTGATCTTTCCATCCTCCTGCCCATATAGCCACCTTTGAGATGCTTACTGAATTCATGCATCTATGTGACTATTTATATCTTAAATTTGTCATAGAATGAGCTGGTAGAGAAAGGTAAATTCATTAAAACTATATAGATGATTTACTTCCAGCTTTATATCCATATTTTAGGGCTATCTAAAAAGCTGAAGGAAAAAGATCTGTTTACTAGAATCCTCTACAGAATTGTCTCAGGATAGTGAGTGTAGGTGACATCTGCCTGGCCATTTATTTACAACTTGTCATGGGTAAATTCCCATATTATTTTGTTTTATTTTGTTTTGTTTTCTAAGACAGGGTTTCTCTGTGTAACTTTGTAGGCTAGACTGGTCTCCAACTCACAGAGATCGGCCTGCCTCTGCCTCCTGAGTGCTCGTATTAAAGGTGTGCGCCACCACTGCCAGGCTAAATTACCATCTCTTAAGAACCAGTTCTCACTGAGGTTTGGCATCACCTTCTGTATAAAGTACTTTGTCATTGACCTTTCCTGCCCTTGCTTGTTATGGAGGGAGGTTTGTACGGAAGATTCCAGCTAGTCCCCTTGAAGTGTTAACAGGAGCTAACATTAAATGTTGCAGATGCTTGCAAGAAAAGGAGTCCTAAGAGCACTGAAGGGAACAATTAAAAAGTCTTAAATGTCTTTTGTCCTTAAGGATAGTGCAGTATGCTTTCTGTGGGTGGGAGATGGTGGCAACAACAAGTGGTTGGGTTGTCTGACCCTGTTTGTGATCCAGGCTCGCTCCTTAAGAGATTCAGAACACATCTTCCGAGAAGGCCCAGTTGAAATCGGTCTCCCATGCTCCATCAAAAATGAAACCAGGCCACCATGCGCACCAACACCTGGGAAAAAAGGTAGCTATCACTGTGGTTGACTGTTAATAAATGTCAGTCACTTGTCATGATCAACTTGACCCTGTGTTCTCTAGAGTTGAGTTCTTCACGTGCCTAGTCTGGTAGGCTTCCTTTTTTCCTTTTTCTCTAATTAAAGAGTACAGGTACAATTACCAACTTTGAGGTCCCTGCCCCCCCCTTTTCTTGGTTTTTAATTAAAAATGCATTCATTTCTCATACAATATATCCTGATTACAGTTTCCCCTCCTTCTACTCCTCTTTTTAAGAGTGAAGCCAAAACATGCCTAACTAGGAGTTTTTGTGAGGGGATTGCTGATGGGAGGGTTCTAGAATGTCACTTCCTACTCATGTTATGGGGTTTTACAGACATTAATCTTCTGTACAGCAAGATGAGGACAGGCTTCAGTGCTGTTGTTCTGTACCTTCAGGACTCTCCTGTGAGGTTTAAAGCAGGAAGGAAAAGAGTCAGGCCCTAAGCCATGACTGTTGTCATGTGCCTACAGCTTGAAGGTAGTTCAAGGGAAAACGCAGCTTCATGATTCTGGGAACTGAATCATATCAGCAAACAGTATAAAATATGTTCTTTGGTCTTAAAGAGCATTAGAGAATATTAAAGGCTGGGACAATGGCTTTATTAGTCAGTGCTTGTATTGCAAGCACAAGGACCTGAATTCTATACCCCAAAAAACTACATGGTGGTAATCCTAATGGTATTGGGGGGTGGGGTTCCACTGCCAACCATCCTTGCCTAATTGGCATGTTTTTTCTCTCTCTCTCTCACCTATGTGCACCCCTCATTTACACATCTGCACACACACAAAGCAATGCTATTAATGACAATAGTTATAAGAGAGGGATTCCTAAAAACATTTCTCTATGCTTCTTCTGGCATCATATAAGGACTAAACTGACAAAATTTTAAAAGGTAAAATTCCATCTTGGGAGGATTTGTATGCAGTAAACATCAGTGTCAGTTATGATGAGTGCAGAGAGCATCTTGCCTTGAAGGCCACAGTGTGTAATGTGGTCCAGATCTTTAACACCCTCTGCTCGATTTTGTGTTCTCAGAGTTCACATTGTGCTTGATGGAGAGTGATGTCACTGTGTCTGGGAGCCACACAGACCGATGAAACCCCTTTTCCTCAGATTTGTGAAAATAACTATTCCCCCATTACCTGAAATTATTAAAATTTTCTTCCTGTCTCTGTCTCTGCTCTCTCTGTCTCTCCCTCTTTCATACATAGCTTTTGACTGAGTCCAGCCTTTCTTAAGTTAGATACAGAGACACAGTCCATACCAAAAATGCCAAATTTGTAGACAGGTGGAGAGGAGTTAAACTGAATTAGATAGAATCTCTCGGAATGATGCATGGAAGAAAAAAGCAGGTGGATGTCCTAAGGGACTACAGTGAACTTACCCATTCACATTTAACAACCTATTTGCCATTTTCAGAACCCCAGGGCATCTCCTGGGAGTCCCCTTTGGATGGGATGGAGAAAACGGACCATCCTCCTGAACCCGTAGTGACCGTGCAAAGGGCCTCTCTGCAGCTGAAACTGAAGATTGATGATTTTGTGCTGCACAAAATGTTGGGGAAAGGAAGTTTTGGCAAGGTATGCTACCAAGGACTTCAGACTAAAGCCCCTAGTAGGTGACTCTAAATTCCAAGGACCAGACAGTCTGAATGCATGCCAAGAGAGCGCCCCTAATGTGCTGTGAGAGAACAGAGAGTGTCCAGCATTATTAAATGGGGAGTTGAGTGATGGGACAGAAATAGTAGCCTCTGTCTCCTATGGATCGTTGGCCCCAGAGCCATTTGCTTTGAGTCCACATAAATCATGTGCTCTTGAGTTTGAAGTCTCTGAACACCAAAGAATCGGGGAAGCAGCCATTTCCTGTTCACACTGGTGGTTTTGTTGTCTGGCGTTTTTTCGTTGCTTCTTCCCCAAGCCTAGAGTGTTGCCCAGAGAGTAACCCCGGTTATTTAAAGGCCCAAATATGTTCACACTCTGAAGGACTAGGGCCAAGATTTCGCCTTGACACATAAAGAGTGGAGGGGAGAAAACACAGTTCAGGCACTAACACTGTAGTTCAAGAAAGTTTAGACAATGTTCCTTGGGGAAAGTCCCCTTTCCCTATCCGTATTGCCACTCCCTGGACAGGGGTAGGGAAAATAACTTGTCTCTGTCAGTCGTAGAAAGCAAGTACTGAATGATTTGGAGAAAAAGAAGGAGAGAAAGGAGAGGGATGAAGAGAAAGCAGTTATCCTCGGGGGCTGGGAGATAGTTGGTGAAGTACCTGAGATGCAAGCTGAAGGGCGAGTTCAGTTCCCAGAACCCACATTAACAAGTCAGGTTTGTGGGCATGTGCTTATCATCCACGCACTGGAAACAAGAGACCAGAAGATGCCTTGGGCTCTCCGGCCAGGCAGCTCAGCCAAATTTGTCTGTCCCTAGGAAATGAAAGACCCTCTCTCAAAACAAATGAGAGAGAGAGAGAGAGAGAGAGAGAGAGAGAGAGAGAGAGAGAGAGAGAGAGAGAGAGAGAGAGATGGCAGCTCCAGAGGAACAGCTTGTGAGGCTGACCTTCAGGCTCCAGGGCTGCACTCCACAGCATGCGCGCACACACATGTGTGAGCACACACACTCCACAGCATGCATGTGCACGCATTCAAACACTTATACTCTAAAAGAAATGTCAACAGTCAGTGACAACAGAAAATTTCCAAGTTAATGATTATAAAGGGGATGTTATAGAATGCAGGCTTCTGGTGTCTTAGACATTACAGATATGTAATTTATTACCAGAGTTCCTAACTGTTTTTTAAAGTGTTATATGGAACTCCTAGGAAATTTTTAACCGAGGGCCACTATTCCAAGACTGTGAATCCAAAGGCAGCTTAAACTAAGCACCTGCTGACCAGGCTTTGGCAGCAATGTCTATCAGGTTTATATAACAATAAACAGGTTCAAGTGCACCTGAGCTTCCACCATGGCTGAATAATACTGTGTTCCATTATGTTTGCATTTGAACACTAATGCATTTCCTTTTCATAAAACTTACTCTGCCCTGAAAACAGTTGCTGGGATCCATGAATCCTTTTCAGTCTCCTATTAATACAGACATCAACAGTTCATTCGGTGTTAATCTGAGTGCAATAGGCAATTTTACAACCAGACTTTTTTTTATCATTTAGCAGCAATTAATATGCAATTATAACCTGATACTAAAAATTGAAAAGGCATTATGTAGATGGCAATTGCCTTCTTGGCTCTTAGTTTATGGCTGGTTTTAGCGTATTTACTGAAAGAAACAACTACCAACAGAGTACTTTAGTTAATGAAATGTTTGTCTTTCTTTGTTCCTATGGGAATGTCTACATTTGAACAAGGTTAATAAGCTAAACATACATGACTTGGAAAGTATCCCTGGGGACCACCTGGTCTGTAGGTAGCGTCTCACTCTGTACTGAGTGCATGGTGCCTTTTTGCACTAAGATGCTGGGCCCTGCACACTGAGAAAGCGGAAACCCAGCTAACCCATTTCTCTTTCTCAGAGTACTAAGAGTTCTCAGGAACTTACACTTCATCATTCTTTTGGCTCTATGAAACCCTCTACCAAGTCAGCTATCAGAGGCAACTGTGTATGTCTTTTAAAACAAAACAAACAAGCAAACCCACTAGGTTTCAGGTGGTCCAGGCTGATCTCAAACTCACTACACAGCAGAACCGCCTCGAACTCCTGATCTTTCTGCTTCCACTTCCCCAATGCTGATATTACAAGATTGCAGACCATGACTCATTTATGCATTGCTGAATATGGAATCCAGGGCTTTGGGCGCGCTAAGACATCCTGTTACCAACTGACCTACATTCCCAGTACTGCATGAATAGTGTCATTTTAAACCTAGACCCTTGCATTTTCAGTTCGGCACCATTGATTTTGGCATTTCCTAAAAGTCAATAAAAGAAACAAATAATAAGGGTTTTTGTAACTCTCGGGGCTAGGGAGATGGCTAGGTCCTTAAGAATATGTGTTGCTCTTACAAAGGACTGGAGTTCAGTTCCTAGCACCTACATCTGGCAACTCTCTGCTGCCTTTAAATCCAGCCCCAGAGTATCTGATACCCTCTTCTGTCTTCCTTGTGCACTTGAAACACATGCCCACACTCACACACACTACACACTAATATAAACAAAAAGTAGCATATAAATTTTAAAAATAATAAAACAGTTCTTATAACTCTCATTTAGAAAGCATTTTACAGCTTATACATCATTTTACTTCATCATGTCTCATTTGGAGGTCACCATAGTCCTGTAAATCAGTGAATAAGTAAGCCAAAGCCCAGGGAGGTGGCTTTGCTCATGTGCCCATAGCTATATAAATGTCATGTCCTTCCAACTGCCAAGAGTCCTCTCCTGTCTCCTTCACAAGTCTGAAGTTGTCTAAGCCCTCCATTATATGTCTGTTAATGTATGAGACAAGAAATCACGTGGGAAAGTAAACTCTGGTTAGATTCCCTGAATAATTCCATGAATTTGAGCAAGTTATACTTTGAACTCAGGGATATTATTATCTTTGTCAGTATCATTAATACCTATCCCACAGTGTTCAGAACTGCAGATTATTGAGTTCTATCATGTAGTGCAGAATATTCTCAAACTTACCATGCAGCCAAAGATGACCTTTAACTTCTACTTTCACCTCCCAAATGCTAGGCTTAAAGGAATGCCTAACATATTTGGTCCATAAGGTGCTGATGATTTTCATGCATTAAGAATAACCTTACAAGCTGACTGGTGGTGGCACACACCTTTAATCCTAGCACTTGGGAGGTGGAGGCAGGCAGATCTCTGAGTTTAAGGCCAGGCTGATTTACAGACCTAGTTCCATGGACAGTCAAAGCTATACAAAGAAACCCTGTCAGCAGAAGAAGAAGAAGAAGAAGAAGAAGAAGAAGAAGAAGAAGAAGAAGAAGAAGAAGAAGAAGAAGAAGAAGAAGAAGAAGAAGAAGAAGAGCTTTCTAAATGCATAACTGTTTTGTGAAACCCTTGGAAAGGTAGGATGATCATAGGATGATTTGGAACCCATAAGTGACATCCTAAACAGTTAGACACAACCCAGGACTGAAACTGAATATGCCTTAATAGTAACCTTCCAAATGAATAACATTTTTGTAAAACCCTTGGGAAGGTAACATGATCTGAAACTCTTAAGTGACATCCTAAACAGTTAGACACAACCCAGAACTGAAACTGAAAGCCATTCTTTTCCCACCTTTCCTCACCCTGCTTTGTCTCTTCTTTAATGCGTGGAAATCTATATTGCGAAACGAAGTTGCTATCTCGCTTCCTTCTAGGTCTTCCTAGCGGAGTTCAAGAGAACCAATCAGTTTTTCGCGATAAAGGCCCTAAAGAAGGATGTGGTGTTGATGGATGATGACGTTGAGTGTACCATGGTGGAGAAGAGGGTTCTGTCCTTGGCTTGGGAGCATCCTTTTCTAACACACATGTTCTGTACCTTCCAGACTAAGGTATGCTTTTGTTACACTCTAGGGGTCCAAATTGGGTTCCTTTTCTCTGCCAGTTAAAGAATGAAAAGACTCAAGAAGTCCAAAGACCAATAGGTAGCAGCAGAAAAATTTCAAACCCAGCAGGCAGAAGAAAGGCTTTATTGGGATGGGAAAACAGACATGCGCAGATACACTGAGAAAAAGACATTCTGCAAAGCAGAGTGGGGACTGGGAAGCCAAAACTCCAGACTCTTCTCAAGGCGTAGACATTTTTAAATCTCTGAAAGAAATGTCTTTCTCCCCTGATTTAGGGTTAGTCCGATCCTTGTGTAAACTGTTGGTGTAAACACATCCTGATTGAGCCTTGAACTTGTTGAGTCAGTCCATCAGCAGGGGACCTCGGAGAAAAGCCCACAGGACCTTTGTTTTAAGCTTCCAGGAAGAAGTGGGCCAGCTACCTTTTCTGCCTACCAGGGAGTCCTATAATTCCCTGACCCTTCACTTTCTGCTCAGGCACACATCCTCTCCCTTAGACTTATCCCAAATGTTGCCCCCCTGGTGGCACCCACGTGCAGGGAAGTGGGGTTTTGTCTTCATATTTTTCTTACCTCTCAGCCTGTCCTCCATAAGTCTATCACAAAAAATTTCACCTCTTCTAAGTGCCATGGAAACATGGGCTAGAATTGTAAATGTGTATTGGGAGAGACACTTGCTTCCAGGTCTGTTTCAATGCACATCATTTATTGTGATTTAATTTGGTATACGCACCAGGCTCCTACACAGTATCTACTCGTTAGTTTCCTGGACATGTATTTGAAGGAGCAGAAAAAAAGGGGAAACAGATAGAAATGTATGATCTCTCTTACCATCCCTTTAGAGACTATCTGGAAGGGTGGGTGTTTGTATGAAGTTTGTGAATGAGAGATTAGAAATAAGATGCACATATGTCAGCATCAATACTAAACACTGGCAACACTGGCCCCTCCATTATGCTGATTTTCTCAGAAGCTGTTTCCATCCTCAAAAAACTCTAACCCTGTCACATTTTCTCTTAGGAACAAAAGCTCAACTTTTTTTTTATGACTCCTACCTTTGTAAAGAAGTTGGAAGAGTCTCAAAAATGTATAATCCTACCCTGGATAGATTCACCATGAATACTCTGAAGTATATCGTTCTAGATTTTCCCTTACTCCCATGAGTTCCTTCAAATAAGTAACAATTAATTGTACATACCTTCCAGTCTTTAACATCCATTTTTAACATTTTGTTGTATTCATTTCCTCAAATATGTGACTATTCCTGCATATACTCAGATTAAAGCGGAGACTTCCTGAGCATATCCTATGCCTGAAGCACTGTGGAGTCTATTGAACCAAAAACATTCCATGCTTTATAACACAATACTGATACTGTTACCAGGGAAATTGTGCCTTCCTTTTGGGTTCTTAGTCCCATTAAAAGAATTTTAAAAGGACCAGTTTAATGGTCTTTGGAAGAAAACAACATTTTAACAGTTGCCTATAGAAGGGAGATGGAGAAGAGAGGAAGGCATGTGGGAACAAGAGCTAGTTTATTCTAGAACCAAATTTGAGTGACCATGGCCCAGGACACAAGGAGCTGGGTTAATGTTCCCAGCAAAGAAACAAACTCATAGATCAAGACATTTAAAAAAAACATATATTGATGGAAACAACAGAGAGGTAGATACAGAAAAATGGGGGTGTGGAAATCTCTCCTATGGGCCTCCAGTGCTACCAGACAGCATTCCCTGCCCTTCCACTGGTGGAGAACAGGGTTCTGAGATGTTAACACATTTACCTATATCTATTTATCAGGATGTTAAGTTCAATACCAAGATGGATAAGCAAGATAGCCCCAAAGACATTTTAATTAAACTATGAGCTCAGCTATATGCCAAACTCTCCATAGTCACTAATATTCTTGTTTGGTTATTCCTGATTTAACAATGAATGCCAGCAAGCAGATGCATGGGCAGGAGGGGAAGTGGGCTTCAGCGAATGAGTGAGAGATGCCCAGGGTAAGCATTAGAATAAGAGAAGGAGGGAGAAGGAAAATAATGCTTTTCTGAATTGGGACTAAGGAAGAGGAACAGGCTCAGCAGTGACACAGGCCAGAAGTCCTGTATAGGAAGGACCTTCTGAAAGGTAAAGGTGGTCCCCAGCCCTCCCCACTCCCCAGCATGGCTTCTTGACTTCAGGGGTAGTGGAGCTCCTGGCCAGGTGATTGACAACAGACACAGCCTGATTAACTCTCAAAAAGAAAACAGTGTTATGTGATGTTTGGGGTAGTCAGAAGGTCAGCTTTCCACCTGGGGCCAGATTAGATTCCATTCCTTTGACCAGGAAGAAACAGCTTCCCTTAGTGAACCTGACAAAGCACACAAGCCTCCACCTTTTCTTATGGTGATCTAAACCCTAAAGAGGGGCTTCATTTTCTAGCCTTACCAGGATGGCAGGAGGTGGGGCCCAAAGCAAGCATGAGGGTGGTCGGTCCTCAGTCCCTCAAAGCCTGATAATACCAACCTAGCTGCCTGGCAACCGCTCAAAGCTTATAGTATTCAAGTCAGACTACAAACCTGAAGTCATAGATCGGGAAGAAACTAGATATGAGAATTTGAAAGACAGAAAGGACAAGAACTTGGGCATGGTAGGTATGGGATGTGGATGGTTCTCAACCTTCCTAATGATGCAGCCCTTTAATACAGTTCCTCATGTTGTGCTGACGCCCAGCCATAAAGATATTTTGTTGCTACTTTATCTGTAATTGTGCTACTTGTATGAAACATAATGTGAATATATGATATTTGGAATATCTAATATGCAACCCCTGTGAAACCGTGGTCAGTTGAACCCCAAAGGGTTAAGAACTACTACTGGTCTAAGATAAAGTAAGTTTGCTTAATGCAGCAAGGAGGGTGAGATTTCTGATAATGCATGTAGAAATTTTCTACTATGAGCATCTTCCTTTTTGTAAGTATATTACATGGCAACAAGAGAAGGGCCTTTCTCAGACCCAGGCAACAGGCTTGCATCCCCAGGACTCATCTCCCAGCCCATCTCCCCAGCCCGAGGTCCTTGGGTGTAACACACCATTAATGCAGGAACAGTAATGCACCCCTATAATGTCAGCACTCAGGAGGCTGAAGCAGGAGGATCACCAAGTTTAAAGCCAACCTAGGCTATAACGTGAGTCTGGGCAACTTTGTGAAACTTTGTCAAGATAAAAAGTAAGAGGGCCCCCTGACAGTGGGACTTGGTGGTAGAGGTGCATCTGGCAGGTATCCGGTCCAGTGGCTTATGTACTCCATCAAAACTCGACATAATATGAATTCACTGTTACTTTCCAGAGGAATTGGAAGTTTTTCCCCAGAAAGTTATTTAGTTGCCTCCTACTTTTAATCCCACAAATCGAGAATAAGACCACTACCACAGTTTAAGGCCAAATTTGAAGCAAGCTTTTATTAAATACTGGCCAGGTGGATAGACTCTGGCCAAATCCATATCAAGGTTCCTGGGAAATGGCCCAGAATCAAATATAGCAAGGGCTTAAGAAGAAAAACCCATAATTCATTGTATCCCCCATCAGGTCCAATCAGGGGCAAGCATATATCCTGACACATTTCCTGCCTATGTGATCAAGCACATTGGTGCAGATTGGCCAGAAGAAAAAACTTAGTTAGAGGAGTAAAACACATTGTGGCTTGTTATCTCCCATAAACAGTAGCCTCCAGAATTTCGGGAACTGTCTTTGGGCAAGTGGCTTGCAGATTGGAGGAGGATCAATACCTACTTTTCATTATTAACTTTTACAATTTATAAGATGGAGAGATGGCTCAGCTGTTGAGGCACTGGGTATTCTCCCTGAGGACTAGGGTTTGATTCCCAGCACCCACATAACACTCACAACCACCCACAACTCCAGTTTCAGGGGATCCATCCCCCTCCTCTGGCCTCTGCTGGCAACAGCACACACAAGCAAAACATCAATACATATACAATTTATTTTTATAAATTAATCTTTTTTTAAAGATGAGAAAATAAATAAGAAAAACCATCTACAAGAACAATTGTCATGACAGCTGAATTTACTCATGAATGAATTAGGAATACTTGGGAAATGTTACACAGAAAACCTTTGAAACCCACAAGTGAAATAAAAACAACAGGAATAAATTAAATATGGACTTTGGGACTCTGTCTCACCAATTTCCTTTAAAAGTCCCTGGTACATTAAATCACAAATGCTTCTCGGGGACCACTACCTGTGAGTCTGTGTTTTTCCTCAAAAGAAGCACAACTCGACACTGTCTGGGACTAAACTACAAAGCTTTACCTATTTTTACTTTTCTTTTCTGGGGGCACGTTCATGCTAGGGTGAACATGTGAAGGTCAGGAACTCACCTTTCTCTTGGTAAATCAGGGTCTGTCCTTCATTTCTGCTATACTGCACACTCCTGCAACCTTCCAGGAATTCTCCTGGCTCTGCCTCCCATCTCACCAGGAACCCTGGGATTTCAGGTCACTGCATTTGGTGCTTTTATGAAGGTTCTAGACTTTGACTCAGTTTGTAAGGCTTATGCATAGAATGCTTTCCCTGCTGAGCCATCCTCCAGACCCAAGTTCCTTGAATTTAACATATCATTGATGTAGGCATGATACCACACCCCCTTTAATCTCAGCACGCAGGAGGATCATCAAATTCAAACCCACTGGTTTATAGCATGAGTTCAAGGCCAGCCTGGGCAACTTTGTGAGACCCTGTCTCAAAATAAAAATAAGAAAAGGGCAGTGTGGCTCAGTGGTACAGTGCTTGCCTGGCATGCATGAGGCCCAAGGTCCCACAGATAATAATAATAATAACAACAATGAGCTAAGCATTCCAAGTTTCCCTGCTCTACCTCCCACAAACCATCTCATACAGGTTGATGTGGCTCCAAAACTAGTTTTAAAAGATGCACCTAATACATTGAAGTCTTTGTTTTCTTTTGTTTTTCTTTTTTA